AAGGATTCTTACCAGTCTAGTGTGAATTTTCTGTGAAATAAAATTGAAAGATGAGTATCCCATAATGAGAAACTGAGAAGAGACAGAACAGCAATACTCCAATAAAAAGCTCATGCTCCCAATTAATGGTATATGTTTAGAAAAAGATGGGGGTCTGAATTTTAGAAATTGAAAGAGAAATGATTGTGGCCTGAAAGGGTGTGGTCCAATATGTATTGATCAGATTTCCTCATGAGTCATGGATGGTAGCTCCACAAATGGAAATTTTTGTTGTGTTTTTATTTATATATTACTCAGTGTTTATGAGTGCTGAAAAAAAAAATTCATGGATTTGGTTTTGTAATGATTTTGATATTCCAATCTTTGATAGTGACTCTCTACGTCACCAATAATTAAGGAGATGACCATTCTGCACTTTGAAGTAATTTGATGTCTGAATCAATACTTCCATAAGTATGATGGTGCTGAGGTTTCAAGTGATCTCACTTATAGATCAATTATTTTATAGGGCTTCTGAGGTTGTTTTGTTTGTTGTGTTTTATTCCACCTGAGTGATCAGAGGATATTCATTCACCAGTGACCATGATCATAAAGATATGTAGTTTGTTGTTTCAGATAACTCATCACCAGAATTTTCCAAAGAGGGTATATTCTATCCAAGAAACATATATTGATCAGTTCATATTCCTAGAGCTTTGTTGGATTCAAGTATGTAGGCATCTACTTGAGTATGTAAGCTTGTGGTGTTTTTTTGGTTGATCTTGTTTTGTGTTTGCTGCATGTGACATGTGCTGGCCATCGCTCGTGACATCCTGAGTGTTAATGTGCTTTTTTTTTTTTTTTTTTTTTTTACAAAAGTTGAAGCAAGAACCAACCACAACTACTAAAAACATCAGACATGGTCGAAGCACACCATCCACTCAGCCCGAACGACGAAGACGAAAGAAGGAAGAACGACGACAAACTAGAACGAAATCAAGAACAAGCAGAAGAACAAGAAGAAGAACGAGAGCTAGTCAACAAAAAGTCATACTTCCACCTCAAAGCTCACTCAGATCTCATCCTCAACCAACCAACAACCTCATCATCATCATCATCATCAACAGCAGCAGCAACAACGACGAAAAAAACTGACCAACAACAGCAACTACCCGAACTCATCCAGAAACTCACTCTCAACTCACAAACACCTACCAGGATCAGATTGATACGCGATGATACTCTCAAACAGACAACTGAATCATCAAACCCAACCCAGACTAGGCCTCCCTCAAACTCTCGTTCATCCAGCTATCACTCATTCAATATTCAATCCAATCATACTCCTACCTCAAAATCAACCAACAAGCAATCTTATCAGCAGCAGCAAAATCATTATTATCATCATCATCATCATCAGAAACTCAAGATCTCTCTATCCGATCAGCCACATCTGATACCCACCAAATCACAACTCCTCCTCGAACTGAAGAAGGTCCACAACCCAGATAACCTACCCGAACTCGTCGATCAGAACGCACTCAACTCACTCATGCTCTCACTGATTCGAGAACTATCACTAAAACTTAACCAGACTCAAGAGGAACTCAAGACAAGCCAACTCGAGATCAATGGATTGAAGGACCTACTCATCAATACTTACTCTGTCGGCTCAGGTGAAATCGAACGCTGTCTCGTTCGTGCTCGAGTACCAGATCCACCTCCAAAAACTGATATGAATAGTAAAACATCAACCTCAAATATCGTCAAACCATCGACCTGGCAGGTTCAACTTAACGACCAACACGAGGATCCCCCTTCGACCGATAACCTCCACCTTAACCTCTCAACTAGCTCATCATTCTCATCCTCATTGGGTCCGTCATGCTCAACTGCTCAACTAGATCTAGATGACCTCAGGGAAGCCATGTCGGATAACCCATGCTTCGACACTGTCTCCTCCTCAAGCTGTCGTTCGCGATCTCAACTTACCTCTCCTGCCTCCCTAAATAATCATATCCCAGAATCACCCCTACCACCCAACCTCACTCAATCCACCAAGAAGAAGAGCAACTACCACTCTCCTTCTACCTCAAAGTTATTTCATCCGTCCAGCATCCTCAATGGCAAGTATCGAAAATCTGCACCGATTCCACCCATCCTACCACCTTCATCAGATCATCATGATCACCACAACTACCACCAGCACCACCACCAGCACCAGCACCAGCACCAGCACCACCAGAGTATTGAAGAATTAACAGCTGAACGCAGAGGTACCATTACTTCATCATCTACCCTTCACACGCGCACAACTTCGATTGGTAGCAGTCTCAGCGGAGTCTCATCCGCCCCTGGTACCCGTCAGCCACCCAACAACGTCTGGGGTCTCTATGGATGGAAATGGAATAAACGTAACAAGATAAACAGCGCACCCGTCGGCGCACAGATCGAAGTTGATGGCCCGGCGAATGGCGAGGATTGCGTGTCCCCGGAGAATGAACTTGGAGGCGGACCACTGGACGATCCTACCCTCATTGGTCCAGCTTCTGTAGACCGGCAAGAAAACTCGCAAATTCCACAGTCGCCCACTCGTCCCAAACGCAGTCCTACCGATGCCTCGAGCAGCAGTACAATACTTTCTGGATTGTTTGATAGCCTCACTCGGAGGTAAGCTCAGTTTTTTTTCAATTTTCTTTCTATTGCACTGTCTTTTTCTTCTTTTCTTTCAAACTAACTAACAATAAATCAAATCCATTTATTCCAGAAAACGAGCTGAATCCAATCACTCTCACCTTCAGCAACCGTCTCTTCAATCCTTCAACTCTCGTTCCACTGTCCCAGGATCATCCGAGGAACAATTCCCTGTGCCAATTGATGTCTCTTCAAGTCTTGCCCCTCGCTCTCCATCTCTAATTCTCAACTCCTCAGCCTCCATCAACACTCAAAATACCTCAAGCAATTCATCCTGTTCAGTCGATCACCCCAGCACGCATCCTCAACTTGATCCTCTTGATCATTCTCATCAAGCCGACCTGACACTCTCCTTGCCAAGTTTGAAGAGATCGGATAGTCGAGGACACGAGCCTTCCAGTCAACTCCCTTCAGAGTCAGAACTATTGTCCGCCGCGCCTAGTGATTCGCATTCAGCTCCTTCTTCTTCCGACTTGACCCCTCCTCTGGGAGGCACAGACAGATTGACGGACAACCCAGATAACCATTCACTTGACCCATCATCCTCTATCTCGAATCAAGCGACTAGTAGCCAGGCCACCCCTCTGGCTAAAATTTCTCGAAATCCTATCACAACATCAGATCCCTCTACCGTCAACCGCCGACCCTCCTTGATCAATCTCAAATCACCTGCCGAATCTTTTGTGTCAGGCTCCAAAGGCTTGCCCACCCTCGCCACCCACGCCGACATGATGGTCCACGGCGAAAGGTCTCAGCTGCCTGCAGTCCTCAGTGGATTGTCTGGCGACAATCCCAAACATCAACTGACTCCCGAGCTCAATAATACTGGGGATCATACCCACGCCAGTCCGGATGGTGACTCATCTTCTTACTCACAGTCAGTCAATTCAAGTCTGACCGGTCCCGAGCTCAGTGACCGGAACAACACACGGCTTCAAACGCAGCCCAGCCACCAGAACCTCTCGATCCGCTCCTCCAAATCTAGCGTGGTTACTAGCGCGTCTCAGATGAAATCAAAGCCACAGGTCAAGCTAACTCAGCCAGCAACAACCAAAAGCTATCTTTCAACAGCCACTGGGACTATCGGAAAGGCTTTGAGTTCCAATCCGTCATCCGAGATCACCATCCCGGCCGAATTCGAACCTAATGTGACTACCGTGCCTAAGGCTGCGTTTGGTCGATTAGCTTCTGTGTACTTCAAAGCTCATGATTCGCGAGCCTACGGATCTCCTTCGAGGTCTTCAAATAACAAGACCAGTTCAACTTCCATCCTCTTTACTGGTCAAGCTCCCCATCATCGTTCGCTCGGCAACACAATCTCTGGTATTGATCATGGAGCAGATGGATTTTCGACCAAACAATCCTCAACCACCGCACCTCCCAGCGAGCCGATCAACCATCATGGTCTCAATAAACTCAAGTTTCTCCCGCCCCTCTCAAACAGCACGATGGAGCTTAGCACGTTTATCAATCCCCAGTCCAACCCACCCCCATTCTCTAATATCAGTCGCGACGAAGAGGCTCGAGGCTTAGATGCGCCCCCTGGTCCGTCTCCGGGCGCCGCAGATGACGAACCCATTGTCGATCGTTTTGGGTTCATCGTCGATGTCAAGTACGGCCTGAAGTTAATGCGAAAGTCTAGAGACAAGAAAAAGCAGCTGGCAAAGGAACGACTGGCTGCTTTGGAAGAGCAACATCCTTCTGAACCGCCTCAATCCTCAACAGAAGATCCGATACATCCTCCCGAGCCTCCGATGGATCCAGCTCTTTCAAGTGAGACTTCATCGACTTCTTTCAATTCACCCTCCTCACGTGTCCTCTCTCTGGCCCCTACTGAAGAGAACAGTAAATTTAACTCAACACGTTGTGATGCCAGTGTCGAGGGCTCTGACCTCGACCATACACCGATGATGACAACCGCGCTACCAATCAAATCACAAGTTGATGTAGAAGCCGAACTGTCCTCTTTACGCGAAGCGTTGGGCCTCTCGCCAGCGATAAAACCTGCTGGCAAAGATCTTCAAAGCTCGACGGCGGACTCAGCGGACACTAGTCTTACCAATCAAGCCCCCTCGATTGATCCGGTGGTCGAGTCATCAACCCAGAGCATCCGAAGGCTTCTTTTTCCAGTTGAACGAAATGCAAAACATGCTAGAAAAGAAACAAATGGAAGCCTGGGGACAGTTTATCACGAAGCGTCGAATGAAACTGATGAGAGTTTCAAACTCTTCCAGTCCGCACATCCTGTCTCCCAGTCCAATCAGTGATCCCAGTGTAGGAAACAAGATGACACTCCGAGGCACCGGCGCGTCTCACCAGCATCGGCGGAGCGTTCTCGAGACGTGCGCGACAGGTGGCA